ACTGTCTGCGAATTAAACAATACAGTTTATTATAGCATACTCTATCTTGCAGTTATTTAGGCATCTGCACTGTGATTTTCATTAAGATAACAAAAGCCTTGGACTTGCACAATACCTTTGCCAAGAGGGTTCACTGCATTTTATATTCAGATACAAAATACTTAATTTTCTATTATAACGAATCTAGAAAGAAAATAATTGGATACATCATTGTCTGTTTCAGATTTTTGTTGTAGCTGTAGCTGGGATCACTTAACAATGTATTTTCGTTATTTTGCTATGACTTGCACTATGCTCCAGCAAGCAGTGCAATGTTTTCCTCCTTCGAAACATGTTTTCATATGATGTAGTACTTTGATGTTCCTGGGACATGCACGTAATAAAAAGGGGTTTTATTTTACATAGAACGATTTCGTAACAAACCTCTAATATTTTCCTTCTTTTTTCATGTTATTTATTTCTGTTTGATGATATTTATTTTAACTTTGGAACTTCATGTTTAATTCACATGAATATCAAATCGAGGTTGATTTTAAAAAGTTTGGATTATACATCTCGATCTAAAGGTGAACGACCAATCTTTTTGAGTTATTATTCACATAAATTATTAAATGTCCGGCACTTAAACCATGCAGTTTTTATATCTTATATTCTTATCTTGTTTGTCGAAGAATAAAAATTACAACTTTTTTTTTTTCTCACAGCGTGTGTTTATGTATTTATGAATCTTCTGTTGTAAAAATTGCTGTTTTACTGCGAAAACAACTAACCACATGTATACAAATTATATGGAATTGCTCCAGTCTTAACCTTTGCATTATCAGTAATGCCATATTGCTCCTGGAGACTGAACCTTTAACCATCTTCTATTTCTATTTTTGCTCGCCATATATCTTGAAATCTGTCGCTCGTTATAGCCATATTTTGAAATGTCTTTAGTTTCATGAATTCAATCAATATTTCGATATTTCCGTCAGAGTGTTGTCTTATATATGATGAAAATAAGAGTTTACTACTATTTTTTCAGTGTCTTGTTTTTTGAATAAGTGTGAGTATATGCAACGATGCTTTCAGTTCATTACGAGCAACGAGATCAAATATCTATTATTTGAATAATGTTATTTTGTATTTAAAAAATAACATGCTAATTACATTGTAAGATAACATTCACACTTGTAACACATAATACTGTTTATTGGGTGGAAATTCTAAATGAATAAAATGTTTATAACTTTATAAACTTCTTATATTAACCTTTTTCATCACATAGAGTAAACAAAAGATTTTTTATGCAACTCTTTTGTTTTGCAAAAGTGAACGATTCGTGGTTAAATCCTGTGTCCAAAATTTGGCTATGATACTTCCTCTTTTAGATGGGCTATTCGTCTAATGAATGCCATCAAACTTTACCAGTATCCATGTATGGCGTAGCTGTTATCCAATAAAATATCACGTAATTTTCTCCTTCAGACGAAAACGTGATTTAGAAAAAAAAAAATTAGATCTTTTATCGACATGTAAACCTTAGACATCCGCTTTAAATAATGTCTTCGGATTGAATTAACAATGACATTTGACAGAGCAGCAGAGCAATTGGACATCTCCAGCGCCATTCACGTCTTATTATACTTCGATCTTTGCAAAATGCTACAAAAATGGTTTTTCAAATGTAAATTCCCATATTTGATACTGTTATCGATATTTATAAGAAAGAGCTCCTTCCTTCGTATCCTACTTACGTCTTTTGCTGAAACTCAAGAAATATTAATGTTAAAATGTGGGCAAACAATTTGCGTATCTGGTTTTTTTTACAAATCAAACACATTAATGTCTCATGGATGCACGCTGGTCACAGTGTGACTGTCTATCTGATGCGATTTCTTGGTCCTATAAAATTCAGGGAGAATAGATGACGACCGCTATCATGTACAATGTATCAACAAAAATCGTATTTGTGGCATTGTTATATGTTCATGGTGACTTCTAATAATTTTGAACAAAGAAAATGTCTCTTGTTCGTGTAAATGTATTGAAATGTTTTAAAGAAATTAAAGACGGTATGCGTAATATTGTATATTACCGGTCTGATTTTAATCTGACAATCTAGAAATTAAAAAATAGTAAATATTGACAAATCCTATGTTGCGCCTGCATGATACTTTGATATTTTATCCAATTACAGGTCAGTACCGTATACATAGGTAACATGGGTAACATAGGTAGATAAAACATTAATACTTTTAATACAGCGATGCACCAACCTTTATTTTAATTAATGCCAATTGAAAGTAAAAATTGTTCTTTGGTTATTGAGTTTTAGTATGTCTGACTTCGTAGGGACTTCGTTGGGATTTCAGAATTCTCTACAATACTGCTAAAAAATTGTAGGGATCCATGTTTTTGGTTCATTTTGTTTCCTGGATTTGAGATTGATCACTGCTCGTTATATTCACCTTTTACATGATTATTTTTACTAGATTACCTGATTTACTTTACATACACCTAATTTTTGTTTAATCTATATTAATATATAAGCGTTCCGTTTAACTTTATGCGGATTGATCTATAATATATAAGCATTTTATAAACAATGTAAAGGTTATTTGTTCTACACAATAATTAGATGTTTCTTTAGAAACGAAAAATCACCAGACAATGTTTCATAATTTCTTTTGTTGTGATCTTGGTGGAAAATTCAGAATTTTGTTCAATATAAAGTCATACAATTGAACGAATTCTTCCAAACCATGCACAATGACAAGCGGTGTGGTCAACAGAATTGATATCAAAGGTACTAGAGGATGTAAAATATTGAATATATTTATTAATTAGCAAGTTTTTAAATGAAAACAACAAAAATGTAATTGATTTGAACGAGATATAAGATTACAATTGGTGTGCTCTATTGTACATTTGTATTTCGGTGCTGATTTGATGCAAAACGCGAGTATGATTAATTAAGGGTTGTCCAGTGACTCATAGAGGGTGTATGGTGTCTTGGAGAACTAATATAAATTGAAATAAAATCATTTCTCAGCATATACATTTTTTCTGAAATCCTTGAAAGAACTTTATTTCCATTTTATCGTAGTTTTTAACTAGTTACTTGTCATATGTTGCCAAAAGCTTTGTTCTTATCTTATTGAAAACATTTAAGGTGGAAACTATCCCTTGTACATCCTACACTTTTATTGAATAAAGCATATGTTGCATTAAACCATTGATTTCCAGGCATGGTGTACACGTAATATTCCTTGTTTTTATTCTGTTCATCTTTTTGGTGGTTGCCTTTAATACACATCTGTGAAATATACATCTGTTGCTTTTCGCAGTGGTGTCTTTCTTGAATGTTTGTTTTCAGAATAAGCAGTAGTAAAAAGGTTTATTATATATATTTACCTTTACGCTAAGATTATACAGAAGTTTATATTAGAGCGCTTTTTACGTAAGATATGAGCTGTAAATATATATAAGTTATCTTTTATCTGATGCAAGGGAAAAATTGCAAATTATATCCAGCTGTTTCCGTATGCAAAGACCGTAACGCCTCGACAATTAAATTTCTTTACCACATTGTATCACAAATCACAGACATAGAATTAAGGACATACGCAACGTAGTTTGAACTTTATTGTATTTTTCCCTGGAGTTGAAGAGTTCCAATACTTAAAGGAACTGTGTCCTACATTTTATTGTCAATATATGCTATTGTTCACTTCTTCTAAAACAAGTTTGGATAAACAAAACATTTAGAATATATGTTTAGTAATTTTTGTATATTTTTCTTTGAATTATACAAGAATTTTCATCAATTGATATCTTTTCAAAACCCCTGGTAACACATGCTAATTTTTTGTCTACGAACATCTGATGGTACTGTTATCTTAAATTAAGAATATCTCGAAAAATTATCAGTAGGTAAGGTACGTTGCGTATGTCCTTAAAGTACATATTAATTTCGGTGAGTGGTGTGTTATTTTCACAGAAAAAAGGATTAAATACATGTACATTGTTTTAAAGAGAATGACACATATACGTAAGAAAGATTTAGTAAGAGGATACATAAAGTACAAATTTATTTCTCATCTGTAAAAGACTACAGTAAACTTCTTCGACGTACTCTTTAATTAAAATACAGCTCATTCTTCAAACATTCTTCACAGTTCATTTTGAATTCCTTCTATTTGGTAGGGTTACATTTCATACAATAAGTTTTATTTTAGAGTCATTGAGAACTACATGTAAACCCGTTTGTTCAGTTTGAGCGCAGTCCGTACATTCTTTCATCTAAAAAAGTTTAATGTTGAACCATTTAACCCGTAGTAAAGTACAAGGTTGTAATTTGTTTAAAAATAAGAAATTATTGATGGAAAATTCTTGGCAAAAATTCATTACTACCTTTTTTCTTTTAATATGAGAGTGCTAATTATATTTTCTTTGAATTCTTCAGAAATTATGACATTTTCAAGTTAATTTGTTCGTTATTTATTCTGGAATAAGCTTTGCTATTGGACTGTTAGAGATTGAAGTTAGGGAAGCGTTAGTATATTACTTCTGGCCAAATAGCTGAAAGAATTTTTATTGGAATGTCATTTTCCTGTTGCTGTTCTTGCATATTTTTTCTTAAAAATCTATAATTATATCAAATTTAAGTTATGTATTTGTACGTATTTTGATTTCAAGAGCAACAGAAAATAAGTAACCGACAATATGCTAGTCATCTCTTGTGTATCGATGATTGATTTACGAAATATATAACTGAGATAATCATCATTTATTTAGTTATTTTTACTGAAGATATCCTTTCTTCATCTTAACTTCAACAAAATCTCTATAGACAACTACATACTCTTGAATTCTTGAAGATCATCCACGCTTCTCATAACTGTTTAAAATTATCCCCATAACCTTTAAAACATTACAACATATTCAAATTCTTCCGTTTGAAAAACTGTCAATTTCCAATCATTGATAATTTCTCACCAAAAAATGAACACTGGTTAAGATTATTTTTCATTTATTTATAAAATGAATATTAAATATGTATGAAAATATAATACATTATGATATATCACAGCAGTCTGTAAGTTCATTGTTCAGGGTTCTATGAAATATACTCAACAAACCCTTTATCATTTATTTAGGCACAATATTGGTCAATAGCACCATCACATTTGGCTTTCTCTTTGATTTGGCAGGAACCAAGTATAACCCTTCTTACGGTAACATTTCAAACGCGGACACTACCGGCTTCCATCTAGCAAACTTTTGAGCAATGTCAAAATTCGTCGACTTTGGCAGTCCACAACATATATCATTGTTTATTGAAGTTCAAACATCGAACAGATTTGTACATGGGATTTCCTTATGCCCGATGTTCATGATCTTGTCTATAAGAATGTTGGTGAACTTGGCCACTTTGTTTCGATTCTTCGATATGCTTTCGGTTGAGCTGGAAATCGAACACCCTTGTTGTTGATATCGAACTTGTCGAACAATACCGACCAGAAGTTCGTCAATGTTGTGGTTTAATACCACAGATGTCTCCACATATTTGCATTTATATTTGTCTGCAAGTTTTCTGGCCTCTGTAAAATGGATTAAAAGGTTAGTGAAAAGCTGAGTTAATAATAAGAACGGAATCTGTTTAGCAATAATAAGAATCGATTTTCAATACACTTTTAACCGCGACTGACACCCACCTTTTTCTGACACGACTCTTGTTCTTGCCAAGTCGACTTTGTTTGCTACTAAGAAAACTGGCCTATCAAAATGAAGTTCCTGACGAATGGACTGAAGCTTTCTGGAGGCGGTTTTATAGGACTGGGCGTCAATGACCGAGAATATTACCAGAACTGTGTCAACAGCAGACTGGAACCCTGGGATCTATAAAAGAAGAGGACAAGCCTTATAATACGTGTCTTTGAACTTTTATCAATGACTACGCGACAAAAGTGTTATCTTAGCATTCGCTTACAATGAATTATCAATATAAAGAGTAAAATGCTGCAATTCATTGACCTTTAGAAACTCGCTAGCTACCTAAACTAAATCATATCTTTTCAATTACTGGATCGATCTGCCTTTTGTCTTTCTAATGTGTGTAAACCGCTTTCCAAAGCATTGCAGACGACAATGCCGTCTCACTGGCGACACGTCAATGAATCAAGACAATATTCATTAATAATTTTAGAAAAATTGATTTTCCCTCTATTGATTAGTGACACAGATGCTTATTAACTTGTTGCTCATGTCATTCGATTTTTTAAGGGAAACTCTGAGTCACACATGTGACTCAAGAAAAATGACGTAAGAGCTACTATCGCATATTAAAAATAAATTCATGGGAAAATAATTGAAAATTCGGCAGCTACTACACTGCGAATCAGCAGAAATCTTGATAACGTTGCATTAAGATTACAACGGATATTAATGACGTTCAGCTTCAACTTAAAGCAAGATTACATCTTATATTTTTTAATGTTATTTCTAATAAATTATGTCACTTTTTTAAAATCTAATCATCAGTCCATACGTACCATGAAATCTTCCTCTTTGACGAAGGACAACAAACATTCTTCTCCATCCAAACAAACGCATACTTCCTCCTCGTTATCCACCGAGTCTAAAAATTCCAGAAATGCCATGAATTAGTTTTCAATCATTTCAAAAATTGATTCATACGCTTCTACTAATCAGAAAAATTTTGTTCTTTATTTGGATATATGAATGAAAACTTACCACAGTTATTAATGCACAGTTCCTCAGACGTTGTGAACTGTCTTTTCAGGGTATTCATTCCCACGCCATCTGATCCAATGACCGCCACCGTGAATCGCTCCATGGGGTGAAGACTGTCATTGGAATTGTTGCACCCCGTGTTTCTGGATTCTATCTCTTGCAGACTAGTATTGCTTTGGTAACTTGAATTTGTCTCAATACTTAAAGTGCTTTTTCTTCTTATTTTGTCTCCACGATTACGTAGTCCTTTTGGTGTAATGCTAAAAGACCGTACACGTTCCAGTGGAGCGTCTGAAAAGTCAGTCATAAACGCAGAAGTTGGGACACTGTTTCTTCTTCTAACTTCAATGGGTACTTGCAAAATGCTTGGCTTCTCCATGCTAAATGAAGATGCCCGTTCAACACCATTTCCTCTGTTCACAGTTAGAAAGTTTGCTTCCATATTGTAAGTTTTTTTAACTCTTTTTTTATATCTACTACTGTCCTCTACGACTAAGTTCGTTGTATGCCACTCACGCTATGCTCTAGAACCTATATACACGTTTGCGGTGAGTCATCAAGCAATGATAACGTAAACATTGGATCTTTTTATAGACAACCAATCAGATTAAAGGTTTCCACCCCTTTCTTTGATGCAGAATCTGTACCTCATTGACAGCTTATCGTAGCAACGGCTATCAATATTGCCTCTCCAAGGACAGTGTAACTGGTGACAGAAGGCGCGTTATCTCAGATTTCTAATCAGTACTATAGCGCTCCGTGTGAAGCGCGTCAGAATCAGAGTCCTTATGCAACACCTGCAAAATATTAGAAATCGCTCGAAAATAAGTGATGTGAATGCTTTCAAGTTTATTGTTTATTTTTCAACGTAAACATTTAAGCCGCAGCATTTCATAGACCATTAAAATATTTCCTTTGTACTAACTGGTAACAAAACAACAAAACACATGTTGTCCTTTTAAATAATATGTCGATGTATAAGCAGATTGTTATGAACAAAACTCGACCTGATATAGGTTTTTTCTCCTGTGTGTTGTTTTCTTCTGTTAAATGTTAATGAATCTCATATACATGTAATTATCGTTTATTCTTTTAATTTATATACCAAATACACAAACGTAAACATCTGAATTTTAAGCTCAGGTGATAAACTGCAAACTACAGTTGCATGCATGGTTGTTATTAATTTGAGCTTTCCGCAATTGCACCTTTTCATGGCTCTTATCATGGCTTCTAATTGAACAAATACTAGCAAGTTTTAATCATTTTTTTTTATATAAATTATTGAATTCCACTTTGTGTTTGAGTGTCAGAGAAGTATTTTGGGACTATCAAATACTGCACTTTGTATTTTTGGAACTATCAAATATTGCCAAAGTTTGAAATTCTAACTTTTGTATGATAACCTTTCGTTCTACATTTAAATTCATAGCGAAAGTAAGTGAAAACATTGGTGCTTTCAGATTGTTTAGATTATTTCATATAACCTTTAATACATTCACCGTGAACACACAGAAAATGCTTCTTTCAGTTTTTTTTTAAAATTATTCCAAATACTGTAAAATCACTTATTTTCGTGGGGTCAAATTTTCGTGCGGGTTAAAGGAAAAATAACTGGTTCGAGGGGATTTGAATTCGTGATTAAAGGAGAACTACTGTAATGTACTACGAAATTTTCACATTTCGTGGATGATATAAATTCGTTGATCTCTTCATACCACGAAAACAACGAAATTTAGACCCCCCCCCTTATTAGTGATTAGTGATTTCATAGTATTCATTATTCTGACACACAAGTAGTATTAAACTTCTCAACAGAATTGAACGATTTTTTATTGCAATGGTATAGATAATATCAATATGAAATTTTTCATATCAGGAAAAGCCGACTTTGATGTTAACGTGTTGCCGGAAGGAAGTGCTGTAATCGGAAGTAATCGCGCAAGGCAACAATGGCGGAAGATAACACTGCGGTCACAGTCAAGCAGTCAACGCTTTTACAATCGTTGGTTGCTCCATAAAAAAGGACATAAATTTTGTATCTTGTTTACTACTACCCTTAATCGAATTTTTTTCACGCTTACTGTTCGAAATACGTAATTTCTCGGATATTGGAGAATCTATCTTTCCTGTTTACATACTGTATGGTCTGAGAATTTTAAGCGTTATGTATGCAAAAAATATATACTTACAGCTTTAGATGACTTGATTTTCCTTTTTAACCGTCGCATTCCTACAGTAATGGTAAATTTAAAACAAACAAACAAACAAAAACAAATCAAAACAAAAAGAAAGAAGTGCAACAATAAGAACAAGGTTGAAGTGACATGTTAGACACCAGTGTTGTTGTAGATCTACGTGTGTTATATCTTTTATTCAAAAAATAAATTTTACATCGGATTATCCGTTATTTGATTTCTTATGCTCTGTTTGCTCAAAGTAAAATGTTCTAAATTAGAATTCTCGGCACAGAAATAACCTGTCAAGAAAAGATGCTTATAAATAACCACTCTGACGAAAGAGATGTTCAAACCGTATGTTAACTGGCCACTGACCCCTATCTAGCGTCACGTGATTGGGTCTTTTATTCTCTTGCAGAGGAACCTTGAATCTTAGCGAATGAATAAGATTTGATTGATGAAATCAAAAGATAGAATTTTACTAATAAGGAACACGAATCACAATACTTCGTTAAATCATTATGTTTCAGATGTGAAACTTGTATTTCTTTAATATAAAGTAAGAATTTGAAATTACTTTCAAAAGAGATATTGTAGCATTTGTTTTGTTTACACCCATCAAGATCAACTTTTGTGCCTACAAAACTTTTTTTTTTAAAGTTTTAATTACTTTTTTCGCGATTTGGCCAAATTAAAGGTGTGTTGAACATTTTTAATGTATTCGATCAGTGCATATTATCTATTCAAGATATATTACTAAAGTCAGGTACTCTTCACACAATTGCTCCGAAGAAAATAGTTCCATTCATGATCAGTAGATAAAACATTACAACAAATATTAAGAATAATCATGTATATTTAATACGTTAAAGAAAACAAAATTAACGTTAAAAGATTTTAAGAAAATCACTTTTTCCCCAGAAAAGCAAATAAAAAGTTTTCATATTCCTACGCTCGCTGCCTCCTCAGTCTTTTTCACGAAAATATATAGGTCACACTTCGATTGATAATGATAAATCTTTTCACCAGTTATATTACTGTCATGATTATTGTTCGTTAATTGCCGTATATTTTCTTTTGAGTTAGAATGTTAATCATTAACTGTGTGTGTGTTTTTTCTCTCTTTTTTTAAATAACGGAATGGTTATTATGGCTAAACACTTCTCGGCAAAGCAACGTGATTTTCCGAGCTCAGAAAGATCTTCGCACGTGTGTAGACCTAGGCTATTTTGTCTTGCAAGAACAGGTGTGTGCACCGTTCCCTAGTGACGCTTAGATCAGTAGACTGGGTATCAGTACTTGCTACGGACATAAAGAAGTTTAGAACTATACACCAGTTTCATAACAAGTGCAGGTTTTTTACTCAAGGTGAAGCCCTAGACTGGGCTAGAGGGGCTGAGTTATGGTCATCGATCTAACACGAAAATGTACTATTTTTGTAAATAAAAAACATTTCTAGAAACAAAAATGAAGTTTATCTTCAAAACGTCTGTATATTCAAAATCAGTATATGGTGGAGGAATATTCAGTGATGCTCCATAGCCGCAACCGATCTCGCGCTTTCCTTTGCGTTTAACAACGGCCGTCAATGCATCACTGGACGAGTTCATTGATTACTCTAAAAGGTGACAGGTTGGACCATCTTTAACATCTGCCTTTACTTTGAGTGATAGTACTTTTTAATAGCACAAAATTAAAAAATAAATTAAAATCTATCCTTGATAGATCTAAAGTTTTGCTATTTGTGAAAATGGGCTATCTTTGATAATCCATAACGGCTTGAACTTGATTTGATTTTTTTTTACAGAAGATTCTATCATTGGAAAGTTAGATGCTACACATGTAGCACAGGCCCATAGTACGCGGGATTTTTTGGGAGTCCCCCCCCTTTCACTTTGAAAACGTTGCTATAGGCCTGTAACATGCTATTTGGATTAAATATTCCTGAAAATGAGTGAGGTGTTAAATACATTTTTAAAATTATACGATTAATTATATTTAGTTTATGTTCAATGTGAAATTAAAACTATTTTTATGCATGTGCAACTTTGTGATAAAGTCACTACATGCATGTAACGTTATATATGTACATGCAGTTTGTTTCCTACTATATGCATATTTTATTCAACAAAAGATGTTGAAACTCAGTAGCCTAAATATTATGTCATTTTAGGATATTTATGTATATGGCACTTTTATAGTTGACTTTCTACAGCTTGAGTATCTCTGACGTTTTGTCAGTAAATACCTGTTTGTTTGTTTTTTTTATTAGAAATCATCTGAACACAGTGAAAATTCGAATAAATTAAAAGTCGAATATCTTGGATATGGGGTAACCCATATCTATTCTTGTTACTACAATTAGACCAACTGTCCCATAAAATTTAGTTCAAATGTTTGAAAAAATGTTACATGAAAGTTTTACAATTTATTGATAGTTTTGAATTTCTTGAATTGCAAAACTTTAATATAACAAAACACTACAAGTGTTGATTCAGAGGATTTAACTCGTGTAAACCATTTAAAGATATGATAACTGGTTCACTGTCATATTGTAAAATTTGTAGTTGCTCCAAACGGGTGTTTTATAGCAAAGAACTCCTTACAAAAATTCCCCGAGTAAGATTTGCTATATAGCAAAACTTCCCCCAGAAAATTTGCAATATTGCAAATCCCCTCCCCCATACAGAAGAAATGTTATATTGCAAATTTTATCCCTAGGAATCATATTGTAATATAGCAAATTTTCCCCTCTTTATAACATACCCCAATGTTTTTTATACTGTAGAAGTTCCTCCAATTATAACTGTATCCGGATTATTATTATTCCGTCTTTAAATTGCGTTCGATCTACAATCGAATTCTACTCAGCTATTTTAGTGCTTACAGCCTTTTACTAGTAAACAAACCTTTGTTTTAATGTGACATGACAAAGAATTGTAAGATTTGTGAGATGCACTTTAATTGACAACTTACATTAAAATTTGGGACTGTTGGAAATATCAAATATAATGCATTTTTAGCATTAAAAATGGAAATTGAAAATCTATTTTTTAAAAAAATCTTTTAAAATCGTAGGGCAAGCAAATCTACCTATGCCCCTTTAATTACACTTAAATGGAGGAAGATCTTTGCTATATATAAGAACTTTGGGGAGAATTTGCTATATAGCAATATATCTGGGGGATTCTTTGCTGTGGATTTATTCTACAACACCGGTATTAAAATTAATTCAGAATTTGACATGTAAAATCATGCAGATATAAATCAATTGTTCAATTCCATTGGGTACGTTTCTTAAGTGAACATATTTTCGAATGTTTAGT